ACATTTTGGAGCACATACAGCAATCTATTGAGACGTCTGGGATTCTGTTTTACTCTAGTTGCTTTGGCACCACAGTTGTTTTTTGACTTTCGTGGTCGCTGTCCTATTTCCACCTGAAATAGAATCAGTTTTAGAATTTACGGGCAGTAAACTTGTTTGGTTTGATTGCTTTAATTGCCAAAATTGTTCAACATCAGGTTTATTTAAACTATTGAAGTATGGGGATATGAATAGCTCACCTATGAACAGCTCATCTAAGTTCATTGCTTTGAATTCGCCAAATCTCTGTGACTGTGATTATACTAAATATCAATGATAAATCCATGGCTGTGTGAAAGATGTTCACCTATATATATATATATACATATATATATACATATATATATATACATATATATATACATATATATATACATATATATACATATATATACATATATATATATACATATATATACATATATATATATACATATATATATATACATATATATATATATACATAAATATATTCCACCATCCAGTTATAAAGACATTTCCTATTACTGGTATATGCTAAATAAAACTGATTTCAACAAGAGGCCTAAAATCTTGAGATCAGCTCTTTGCTGCTGGACAGCAGATTTATCCTGGGCACTGTAGACTGTTGTTCCTGTATATCATTTATGAAATTCATAATATAGAGCTTTGTTTTTGTTGGTTCACATTTAAAGAGCTAATCAACTTCTTCTGAAGTAGATATCAAAAGCATGGGGGATGAATTATCCTCTAAAAATGTTTTATTTCTCCCCTTGGATTATAAAGGGAATCAACTACTGCCTAGAAGGCACATGGCTACCTTATAGACATCTGAGGTAAGGTGGTATGGATATGTGAAAGAATTATGTCATGGCCCAGCCACACAAAAAAAAAAAAAAAAAAGGGAGAGAAGAAATGTTTATAGATTTATGGAAGCAAGTAGGAGGAAAGAGTGTTAACTATTTGAAGGCCATTTACTGAATAAAGGCCACTTATTTTACACGGAGTTGCAATTAGAAGTGAATTTTTATATATTTACCATTTATGAAGTAGAGTATTAATGTTTGTGTCCATTATTACTTTTTGGGGCTGCAGCTAATAAAAATGGCTGTCTTGTCTCTCTAGTTTGCGGATTTTTTTCCCATGTTCACATATTTACTTTGACTTACTGTTTTTTTTCTGAGGTATATTTCATAAAAAACAGAGTTTGGTTTCTCTTCTAGAAAAATAAAATCTGTTAGTTTTCGTGCAGTGTATTTTATCATATATTTCCAAGGTGACTGAATTTAAAATACTGTGAGTGAGGCAGTTTTCATTATAAATATGTGACTTGCTTTTCTTCTTGGTTTCTGGTCTAGTATTAAATGTGGAGGTTGGTGGCCCTCCATGTGGCAGGGGGTTGGAGATTCATGATCCTTGAGGTCCCTTCCAACTCTGGGCATTCTGTGATTCTGTTTCTGAGAGATGAAAACTACGATTTTTTCAGAGCATGCTGTGAAAATCCTATTTTGTAAGGCTTTTCAGAGAAGAAGTGATTTAAACAATGCATTTGAGTGTGAGCTGTTATTGTTTAACATAGGGTTTTAACATTTAATAGAAAACTCAGATTTAAAGAGAAAGCATTGTTTTTGTTGTCTCTGTTATTCTTTATTTGTATTTTTAATATCTGTATCAGCATCTGAAGCTTGGAGATTTGAGTAAACCTGAATTTTTAAAAAAATCTTTCCTAAATATATCTTGGATGTTGAGTCAAATTGATACTTAGCTGTTCCTGAGTATGCCCCATCCTAGGAAGTATTTTAAGATCAGGTTGGATGGGTCTCTCAGCAACCTGATCTAGCTGCAGATGTCCACATTCATTGCAGGGGAGTGGGACTAGATGAGCTTTAAGGGTCCCTTCCAACTCAAGCAAATCTATTTTATGATTATACATATGTTTCTTCCTCCTTTTCAAGATGTTCTGCTGTAAGACTAGAGCAAATCCTAGTTGCTGAAAGATGGAACCTGGGTGTCTCGTCTCTCAAACTGTGTATGAAAGAAATACTTTCAAACATTAAAGCTTAAAGTGCTTGGAAGTTGAAGGTTAAACAGAAGAAAAATGCTCAACTAGTTTGAGGCACTTTAGGGATGTGAAAAAAGGTGTTCTGCATCTTGGTTCTAGATGCCTAAGGCTACCTTAGAACAAGGGTTTCTGGGTGATGCAGCACATTAAACTGAAACAAATGCTAATAAATAGTTCGCCAATAGTATTACAAGATAATTGTCTTACAGAATTACACAAATAATAGAATGTTGTCTGGAAAATACTTTATCAAAGAAACATGCTTTTTACAATTTCCTTGTTTTTCAACCATTTCACTTGAAACATTTGCGCTATATTGACCTACTGAGCCCTTCAGGAGGCTGTTAAAATCTGTTACAATAGTTCTCTGCCCTGCTGGTGCTAAAAGTTGATCCTCCTCAGGCATCAAGGCGCTCAGGGAGCTAATTTGTAATTCTTGCCTTTCCTTTTCTCTTATAACTTGGGTAAGCATGCTGAAATGTCATTCCTCTAGCTGTTATTCCACTTTGTATACAGACTTGCATCATTCTCATCTTTACAGTGGCTGGATTCTATTCAGAAGTACACTAGTCGATGTGACTAACATCTGTTTAGGATGGTTCATTATTGCTCTCAGCCTGTCCTCAAAAGCTGTATATTTAATCATACATATTTAATCCTGTATATTAAATCTTGTAGTATTCAATATACCACTGTAGCGTGCAGGAGTATGTGTCTAACTATATGGCTTTGGTATTAATTTACGCTAATGAAGGCCAAAAAAAATGATGTGCTTCCACTGCAATAGAAGATAATGAGGCTTGTGTGGACTTCAGAGTTTGGAAGAGGTTATTCCCCAATCTCCCTACTGTCTCACTCCATTTCCTGGTTTGTTTCACCCAGCAAGAAGACAGTGAATATAGTGCATTTCACTGATACAGTTCAGGTGCTCCCAAACAATTCATTAAATGAATTTTGAGCAAACTGTTGTACATATGATCTGTAATCACATGTATTCGAAGCATGCAGTGTATTAGCCTATGAGTAATCAGTATTTGGGAGTGTGGGGAGGGGGAGGTAGATAAGGGTAGGTAAGGGTAAATTAGATTGGGTAAGGCTACAGATTCTGGGGAAAGTATATAGGAGTAGGAAAGGTTATATGACCTGTGTCATCAGTGTGTGCATCACTGTTGGTGAACCACAGCTGGTGGTTCTCAGGCCAGCTGAGAGGAGCTCCCAAAGCTGTCTTCTAGCATACTTTTGTGTGTGAATTGGCATGATAAGCAAGGTGGGGGCAAACAGTTAGAAGGTATGCAAACTAAGATAAGCATGAGTATGAAAAACACGTGGCTGCAGATAAGCAGAGAAACTTCTGTTGGTTCCTTAAGACCTCATTTTCAGTTCCCAAAAACATGATGGATTGTGTATATAATAATCATCACATGATTTATGGCCTCCATGTTTCTGCCAAAGGCAGCACTTTCTCTTTTCATTGACAACTTCCAGTCGTAACTCAGGCTCTTGACATCTTGACATGAGCACTAGGCCACAAGTTGTTAGGCAAAGGCAAAGCAAGTGCAGTGACCGAGGCATAATTACAATCTTATCCAGCCTGCATGGCTAGAGACAGTTCTCATTATCAACTAGAAGATGTCTACCAGACCTGTACCTCATCACATTCTCCGGTCTTGCATGACCTTTCCCTTCTTCAGCTATGCTTGGGCCATGCTCCACATCAAACCAGGAGAATGTTTCCTTTCTGCAAGCTGATGTGAATGTCTTAGAGGTGGAATTACCATCTGCAGTGCTGTCCCTTTTTCTGTAATGGATGTTCTAGTGTAGCTCACTTGTAGAGTCATAGAATGTCATGGGTTGGAAGGGACCTTAAAGTCAAACTAGTTTCAGCTCCACTGCACTGGGCAGAGATGGCATCCACTACATCAGGCTATCCAGGGCCCCTTTCAAAACCTGGCCTTGATTGCCTCCAGAGATGGAGCATCCACAGCTTCTGTACAACCTGTGCCTCACAACCCTGGAGTAAAGCATTTCCTCGTAACACCTAAACTAAATCTTCTCTCATTTAGTTAAAAGCCATTCCCCTTTGTCCTGTCACTATTTAGGCATGTAAAAACTTGGTCTCCCTCCAGTTTATAAGCTCCCCTTAATTAGCAGAATGAATGAAGTATCAAACTAACATTGTACTTTTGTAGTTATGATAGTAAGCTGGAGTGGATATTTAGTGGGCTTCTATTATTTCACAGCTACCTCCCACTGTCCCTAACTAAACTTTGGATAGTTTGTTTAAAAAAAATCCTAATTGTCTTCTGCTATAAATATTAGTGTTTAGTTGGAGATTTTTAAGCCTCCTAATTCCTTTCGCACTTTACAAAATGGGAAAATTTTCTAGTTAACAAAAAGTGTCAGCTCCCAAAATTTGTATAGAAAAAGTGTTTCCATATATTATTTCTTGACTACTCTGTTGTTCCAATGTTGAATGAATGTAGTCTCAAGCAAATCAAAAATCATCCCTAGAATATCTCCTTTTTACTCTGTTATTATATCGTACGGTCAGTATATTTGTCCTGCCATTTGTTCATTTCTCTTATAGGTATTTATGCAACCATTTATATAACCAATTGCTGGAAAATGATTGTTTTCATTATCATTCATCAGCGAGCTAAATAGATCCTGCTGAAGCACTGTGGTTTGGACAATACACTGCAGTTTGTCAATGAATAAACTTCATTCTTAGATGAGTAATTGGTTTCTTTATGCTTGCACCGTGTAAGTTGTTCTTCACAATTCCTGTCAGGAAGCTGCATGTTCTACATAATACTAGACAAATATAGCATGTATATGCTGATACAGGTTACTCTTACAGCTTGATAATATTTGTTGATTTAACACTGTTCTAAGGTTTGGTGTTTTGTTTTTCCCTTAGGGATATGATGATGGATATGGGGGTGAATATGATGATCCAAGCTATGAGACGTATGATAACAGTTATGCCACCCAAACACAAAGGTAAGCATTTGTACTTTTTTCATTAATTTTTCAAATAAAGACACATCTTTTCTCTTGGGTTTTTATGTAAATGTCCTGCTTTATTTTTCCACATTAAATTCTTCAGTAGCTCACAGTACTTTGAGTAACTATCAAATAATAATAATACTGTTCAGAGTTAATAAACAGAATAATTCAGATGAAGTAGAAATACAGACAGCTCGACTTTTTTAAATGTTGCAACTTAGGAGTATTTGTTTTTGTTTTAAAAAAGCAAGTGACTACACTGTTTTACTATCTGATGTCATTCTGTTTTCATTGGTGCATTTTATTTTATTTTTAGTAGTGCAAAGTTGTCAAAAGCTTCTCATATTTAATGTTTTTACAAAATTTTTAGCAAAGCAAGAAAGAAATTGTTTAAAAAAGTACGTCAAGGTAAACTATGGAATGGAATCATGTGCCTGAAGTAGTGGTAAAGCTATCTGCTTCCAGCCATTAACTTTCTCAGCAGCTTGCAGAACTGATAAAGGCAGCAAAGTTTAAAAATCCTGTTTTATGTCCCTTCCCTGTGAGGTAATGGAAGAATCATGTTCATAACACTTATGATTTGTATCACTAAAAAGAGGCAATAAATGTGATCACTCTTTATGTGCACATACACCACACGCAGAGTTGGCTGTGTTTATCAGATGTGAATGACATTCTTTCCATGAGGTGAGGGATAAAATAGTGTTTCAATCAATTATTCAGAAAATGCACTTATTAGTCATTAAGAATGTGTGTTAGATTGTGGAAAGGCGAATGAAATTCTGAAAGAAAAATATATGTATTTTGAGTTCATTTGCGACTCACTGGATGAGAAAGTCATTATTATATAGAGAGTTCTACCCTTTTTTTTTTTTTTTGGGAGGGGGGGGGCGGCATGGTTTTATTGAACATTTTGCTGGTGAAAATACCCGTAAGAATTAAGTTCTGCTCTAAAACTGCTGTAGTGAGTGGCATTTGAGATGGCAGAAAAAACTTTGTAAGTATTTTTACAACCAGTGAACATATTTAAAAGGACTTGTCACACCTGAATGTGAACACCTTCAATGATACTTTGACAACATACTTTTAAGTAATCATGCGTTACTAGCTGCACCTGTCATGTCATTGAGTAGGTAGATATTCTTGTTGTCAGATGTACTTAAATTTTTTCAAAAGAATTCAGCCTTTTGCTGTGATAGTGTATTGTCACAGGAAATAGAACTTATTGTGATAATTTGACTCAAAACAAAAGTTTTACAGAATCAAATAATTTGGCAAATTAAACAGCCATTATGTTAAATAGTCAGGTATGTTCACTATTAATGTGAGCTACAACAAAGATACCTACTCTACTACAAAAGGTCAAATAAAAAATTTCCTTTTGTAATACATGGCAGGATACACAGTCATAGTCATCCATGTTGAGTGTCACTGAAGGCCTTATGAAGTCTTTTGATTTCACTTGGGGATTAACATGCTGCTCAGATTTCAAATATGTAAAGAACAAATGGACCATTGGGTACACAGTATAGATTTCTGTACCTCATTGGTCATTCATCCAACCTCACAGAAATAATGAGCTGAAATAGTGTAATATAACTGTATGCATGAATAATGGGTCAAAAATATTTGTTTTGCTTTAAATACCAAAAAAGTTTTCCTCCAATCTTTGATCATGTTTTTAATAAATCTGATTATAGGAGCAACACATATCACACATACACCTAACAAGAAAGATAATTTGTACCACTTCAGAGTGCTTATTCATCTCATCCACTGTGTGATTTACTGGGGAAAAAAATCTTGTAGAAAATCTGTGCTCAGAGAAAAAAAAAAAATCATTACTGCCCTCTGCAGGGATTGACTGAAATTTTGAAGCATGACACCAAAAATAATTGAAGTCAGTGGATTAATGCATAACTCCAAGATTCCTGCTCCTGTTAAGGACAGAGTTTCCACTTGTTTTTTATGGCTCATTAAGGAATCAATATGGAAATACTTAGAGTAGGTCCAAACTCTTCTCTGACTATCAGCCTCACCAAGCGCATTGACCAAAGCTTACTCTCGTTGACACTTCAAACTAAAGAATGTATCACTGAGAAGAAATGAACACTGACTTCTGGGTGATTTAGAGCAGAGTGGATGGTAACTTTTTCCCCTATGCTCTCAATGCACTGTGTGAAAATACTGTTTGGATAGCCTGCTACTGCCATGACCGCAACCTGTGCCTCATGTCTACTTCCTATTTTCTCACCAGAGACTATCTGCCCGCACATATACTTCTTCTGAGGGCTCTCGGTCTTTCTTTGCTCAAGAGGCATGATTTAGACTTTTTATATAGGTTTTGCCAAAAGCAGAGAAAATGATCATGACGTTGGCATACACCACTGTGCTATTAGATAGAATCATGTAGCAGGAGCACCAAAAACACTCAGCACCCAGACCATCTATATGCAAGTCAGCATAAACACTGTTCTTTTGTATAGTTCTTTTGTATATGGTGATCTGTACTGAATGTCAGAGATGAAGTTGCAGGCCCAGCAATAAATTTTGTATAAGCTCTTCTCTAATGAACTCTACCACTGCCACTCTTCTAGACAGAGAATTCTGACCTCCATAACAGTTCTCTGATTTTTAGACTGATAATAGGAGTATGAGGTCATTGTGAAAGAGACCGTGATAGAATGTTGATATCAGACTGGAGTGAAACCTACAATAAGTCTGTATGGCTGAGAGAGCTAAAACATTCCTCAAGAGACCATTGAAATGGACACAAAAGCAACTTGAAGAAAAAAGTAGGATCGTAGCTATGGTATCACCTGTCCCTTGAAAAGAAATACAGATCATAAGAAATACAGTTATTTCTATGGCATACATTGCATGAGGAATGTCTTGTTTTAACTAACAGACTCTGTATATCTAAAGCCACCTTTTTTTCCTCCTCATCTTCCTGTCCCATAGTGGCTTCCCAAATGTGTCTATAATTATTATTTAAAATTCCATAAAAGACTAGAGGTTTCGCAAGAACATTTAGAAGCCTTGCTACTTTTAAAACTGTGTTTATGTTGATGCAAAGATACAGACTTAAAGGTAATTGGAATGAAAGTGTTATCTGACACCAAATGAACATGGAAACAATCATTTCGGTGGGTGGGAGAGGACATCAGCTTTAATAAACTTTCCATAGGGAACGTTTTTATAGCAGTTTGAGTTAGTTAGCATTAGAACATCTCTTTCCCTTCCTTTCCATTCAGTTTGAGACGGATTTCAGTGATAAGACCTGCCCATATATACCAAGCTTCTGAACTTCTAGTATAACAATTTTAGTTAGAAGTATGAAACTTAGACATACTAATCAGATGTAAAATCTCTGAGTATGATGACCATCCCTGTTTTGCCTGTTAACCTGTGTCAGTAGTGAAGAGCAGATTATAGGTAAGGGAAAGAATTAGCCTGCTATTCTCAAATAACAGCGCCTCAGCAACTGGATAATATCCAACTGAATTTGCCCTTCCTCTTGCTTGATACTTGGAAACTTGTAAAGAGTGCATTCTGTCTGTGCAACAGAATTCTGGTATGTACTCTTACTGAACAGGTTTTAGCTAGACTCAGTTGTCACCAATGGGATGGCTTGACTTTGACCATCACCTGCCCAGTATTCATTGCTAAGATAAATGTTCTTCTGCAGGCTTCTAAAGATATGCTGCTTCCTCACCTTTTCATTCTTAGTAGCAGCATAGCACACCGATGTCTTCAATGATTACTTATCTTCAAACATGTTGGAATATATAATGGCAACAGTCCTTTTCCATTCTCACAGAAAAACTGATTGAAAGAGAGAAATAGAATTTTTATAGGGCTAAAGGCAAACTCATAAAAGAAAACTTAAAATGATAAATCCAAAATGGGAAAAATATTACTTTCCAAGTCAACTGTAGCACAGAAGATGTTAAGAGTATTCTGTTAATTTTCAAAATACAGTGCATTTTTGATTTTCTAAACAGGAACTTACAAGTCTGTTGAGCCAACACCACTATCCATGATCCACAGGTGGAGAACAATAGATCACCAGGAAAAAATGATCAAATGTTTTGTGAGATCTTCAAGATCTAACTTTTTGGTTAAAGTCTGATAGGGCATCAGACCGTTCTGTGTGCAAATTGTGGCCAAATTCCTCAGCCAAGACCAGAATGATTTTGCAGAAGGGAATCAGTTGCTCATGAATCGGAGCCACCTTCTGATAACACATCTCCAGTGACCTTTGTGTCTCTATTAGCATCATCAGTTTTGTTTCATATGTACCATGTCTCACAGCTAAAAGAGATAGAGGGGAACTCTGGAACTGACTGGCCAGTCAAAAGATGAACCAAAAAGGGTATATTTTATTTAATATTTTATTTAATATGTACATAATCTGTCCATTATATAAAGTGTGAACAGTTGTGCCTGTAAGGGAAAAGAAAGGAATTAACACTTGTCCTCTGAAGCTTAAAATTTGAATTTGATTTAATTTCCCTTTTCCGCATAGTCTGGCTTGAACACTTAGATATCAGGTCATTTTTTTTTTTTTTAGTGACCAAGTAGTTTGGATATTGGCTAAGGCTTCCTGGTCTGGCTGGTTGGCTTGCTTTTCTGATTTTTGTTCTGTCTGGTTTTTGTTTAAAATGATAGTTCTGGTGTAAAATGAGTTGCTGTGTGAGTACTTTATAAAGAAAGAAGTGTCTATGACTTCCATCCTAAGCAAAAAAAAAAAAAAAAAATTAGAAAATCTGTAACGTAAGTAGAATAAGTAATTCAGTGTTGAAAGACAGATGGAAACAGTGCAAACCATTGCTGACTTACAAACCAACCCCAATGTTACATGGGATTTTTCATAACTTATCTTCATCTGTGTTGTATGCTGCAAGATGACATATATAAGGGGCGCTTCTCTTACCTTCCTGGACCCAGCCTCACTGATGATAGCACTCCAGTTTTAAGGCATTGAAATAATT